GGCAGAATGATTTCACTCAAAGAACAAAAACTTGCTACATTAATCTGTAAAGCTGTTCAATGTTGGCTCGGTGTAGACAACAAACGTGCTGAGCAGGTCACACGAGAGCTTAAGAAATGTATACCAATCGATTTTGAGCAATACCACCTATGAGGAAAGGTACCCCCAGTACCTTATTAGGTATAAAGGCTGCCTCAAAGGTGCCCATTTGGGGAACTGGTAATATGACAACCTCACAAAGTGGGAGGAAGATGTCGCCAACACCTGGTTCCAGTAATCGAATGGTCGACCTGACCATCGACGAAATGCACCACGCGGTTGTCTTTCGCTCAACAAAAGCTATTCTCTGACTGATGATGATTCGAAAGGAGTCTTCTTGTTCAGTGATTACAGTTGCGGAAAGATTGCAAAGAAAGACATTATCATATGAAGCTGATGATGAATGATTTAGTAAGTTAAGCTTGAAGGGAATTCTTTCTGTCAGAAACAAATTAATTGGAGACAAAGGTTGTAACTTACACCGCTTATTAGCACACGGGAATAAAGCGTCCCACAAGCAACCAGATTTAAGCTCGATCCAGGAGTCCTCACCGCGAAGATTGCATAACTCATAATTCTTGCAGTTATGTGTTGGAGATGAGTGGCTAATTGTTTCCGCCGTTAATTATTTGGCATCTGTTAGAGGCTTAGTCTGGACGACCTTTTGCAGTCAATCTATAATCCCTTAGCTACAATTACGTTTCAAATTGCTGAAAGCGAACTTATGCAGATTTTAACCATTTTTATTTCACAAACTCTAGACATCCTGTTATCTCTCGTTTCACAGCTTTCAGCAAATGCCATTCCAAAATGCCGACTGCTGTTGTAACAGGCCGGTCCCGTTTCGGCGAAGTCGATGCAGTGGTCTGTAGTGATCTGAGAATATGCGGGTTCTTACGTTATTTCTGCATTGTCTAGAGCTTATTAATCCGTTCTTCCGAGTTCTGCAGCTTCACTGGTATCAGTCATTCTGTTTCATAAGCTGCCATGAACAACAAGTACGGCAGATGTTGTCCGTTGATTCCATGGATTGAAAATGATCTTACATTTTGCGTCAATTGCAGCCTAACTTCACCTCTGATCCGAAAGCATAAAGTTAAAGGTTTTCTTGTTGGACTCGAAGATTCGACGGCGTCCGAATGCAGACGGTGACACCGGTTCTTCCAGTTTCGTTCCTCATTGCCTTCTATGACTCGTCTCTGTCACTTTTACCAAAGATCTTCAGGCAACACTGTATTCAATACCATTTAATGTTGTTGTTTTGACGTTCGAGCCATGATCTCAAATCACCAGTGACGGTTTCGGTCTACAAAGCGTTTAGCATTTTGCTGTTGCGGCCTTCGTTGCCAGGAAAGAAGTTTAATACAAAATTTATGACGTAACCTATAATAACTTGTGATACAAAGATATTATGAGAAAGACATCCAGTAGCTGGATCTCCAGGTAACGGGTTATACCACTTTGCGTCAACTGCCGTATTAACCATAAACTGGGATTCATACCATTCAAGGTTTAGGTGACTCAGCCCCATGTTCACGTTGTTCGTGTTGAGAATTACAACTGTTTCGTATCCATAAATATATCGCTACCATGTTCGGAATTTTCACCTTTTGTCGAAATTTCAGTATTTTGTGTTTATAATCAAAACCTTTACCGTCTGACAACTCGGTTGTTGTTCAAAACGGTGAACGCTAAATAAATATCGAGACTTTCAGTATTTTTCTTCTCTCATAAGTGCGGAACTGGAATACTTCTTTTTTAACAGCGTCGAAAATGCTGTAAAAAGTTCAACGTTGATTTAGCGGCACAAGCTGACGATGGAACGAAACTTGCAAACCCTTGAACATACTTTCGTGGTAGTACAGTGCGTCGGCTTCGAATTTTGGAGGTGCGGGGTTCACCTCCGGAGGAAGGCAATCTTGGCCTTAACCACGACCTCCGTTAAGCACGCAATTTACCACACTGCTGGTAGAGCACGTAACTCAAAATCGAATGGTCCTGCTTCTCTTCCAGCTCCTCCTCGAGCCCCCGTTGAATCACTCATTGTTCTTCCTTTTGAGGTTGATAAATGAGTGCCACTGGCTGGGTAAGAAAAAGGACACAAGTACACAACATGCTGGTAAAATAGCTGCTGTCTACTCTGCCGTTAAAATACGATATCCCAGCTGATAACATGATAGCAGAGATCAGCGCCAGCAGCATTAAGTTCACCAAAGGAAGAGCAAGAAAATGGCCCCATCAGAGAAGCACGCAAAGACAAAACGCAGATTCATCGTTCATCCAGAAAACACCTCTGCGAACAAAATATTCGAACTCATTCTATCAGTTTAGGAGATTTCTGCTGTACTAACTCTGCTATACGAAGCTCCCTCAATCGCCTCTCTTCTTGAGTGTTTTCTGGCCAGCCCAACGCATTCGATGAAGTGAAGCCCTTTGGTCACGGACAGATATCGTTGTCCAGTGGAAAACAACTGCTGTCTCGGGCTCCTGCACCAGTTCCAGGTCCCCATTTCAGCGGGAGTCATACGGTACACGTATACAGTGTATACGTACAACGTATGCAGTGCATTACTGTCGTGACATTTGCATATACTTTGTGTAATACAACATAAACTGAACGCCACCATGCCTGATGTCGAACTCTAAGGAAAGGTATGGAAGGGATGCGCTGTTAACATCGTAAAATATACAACAAGCAAGAAATCAGCAGAACATGCAGTGTATTTTTACACACATATTTTCGTATGCAAGGATCAAGCATAAACATCGAGCGAGTTCTATAGCGACATGTTTATATGCACCGACGAACATTCATCGCGGTGGCGGCACAACTGTTGTTCATAATTCTGCACTTCAAAATATCACAGGCATGATTACTTTGTTACACACAATTTTCGCCATGGAGTCAAACGTGAGTATTGGATGGCGCATGATTTCTGTAATAACAGCATTTCACGGCGAATTGCTCCCTCTTAGTCCGAGCTAGCTAGAGGTACTGTTTCAGCAGGCTACGCTCCTTTCAGTGTCAGATAAACCTCGCATCATTTTCTCCGCTTTACTCACTTCACCTTCATCACGAACGGGAACTGATACTCTTTATACACTACCGCATAAAGATCAATCATGCATACTCGGCGGAGCATGTTGCATGAATCAAGATTCCTCTAAGACCTGACTTGACGGCATTTTGCACCGTTTCCTAGAGAATCCACGGATCCACGGTCTGATCCAATAGCTCCAGTTAGGAAATCAGTAGCAAGGGACGGGACAGTCCACTGTAGAATCTAGTCTTGGTGGGGTCATGCTTCGTACAAAACGTCGACATCGAGAAAATTTCTGGTCAACGCCAAAGCCACGTTTCCGACACGTGAGAAAGTGGCCTAAACACCTTCTGATCAGACAACAGACGAAATGAATCTTGTCTGTTGATGAATACATCTTAGGTCCTTTACAGAAGCAACGTGAAAAACCGCTTACACAGTTGAATCCTTGGGACACCTGCACTCCTTGAAGGTCCAGCTGCCGGCGTGTGATCCGCCAGCTAAGATTTCGCACCAGCCACCGACGGCGGATTTCCGATGACCATTGCTAGTACCTCTAAGCTGGTGCGATGATCCGCTCAGAAAGCTGATCGGACAATCGATCAAGCGCCGTTTAAGTTAACTATCTGTTAACACGTGATATCGGCTTGCGGACACCGACATCAGACACAGCGAGATGCACATCGGGATAGATACGGGATAAACTTAAGCCATGGTCATTTCACGGGAAGAGCGGCAAAAGGAAAAAACCGTCCAGTGCGAACAAACCATTATCGCTCAGCCTGTGGCGAAAGGTGGTGGTCATAATTTCTGCGAAAACCTCTCGCTCGCCACGCGGTATTTTGTGTCAGCAGATGTCTGACAGACGGCAGCTCTTAAATTATAGCGGTTCTTTGAAAACAGCAATTTCTTACGCCAAAGTGACATTTATGTCTTCTACGAATACCTTGCGTCGTTGTTCAGCTTCAGCATCTGTTCCAACTCCTTCGATCTGCGTCAGTGTCGGTTTCGGAGGACGTCGAACGGTGCTGATGCTTTGACCTTTAAGGATATCAGAGCATCCAGACGAATTACCCGCCGAGTGACGAAACATCCGCATATCCATCTCTTGCCTCATTCCGTAATGAACGCGATTCGCAGCGTCTTTCGTTAAGTTCAGGTCAGGGTGCAGTGCTGAACTGATTTGCATCCTGACTCGGTCAGCACAAGTTAACTTATTTATCATAATCGTATATATTTACATCTTACCAGCACTCATTTACATATGCAGCTGAACTGTGCAACGGAGAATGCAACGGAGAACCAGCTCTTCTAAGTCGGTTAAACGGCAAAATAGCATTGAGCACCTGTGGAATATCGAAACGTCCCGATCCGGAAACTGCCTCAAAACGGAAAGATTTCGATCAGTGCCAAAGTGTGGAGGCGAAGCATTAATTATAAGCCTAAAGCCTCTTCATACACCGCGAATATTCAGTGTAGCCTTGAAACGTACATGTCGGGAATACCGAGAAGAAATGAGAAGACGGACAAATGAATATGAGCACAAACTGCAGTATGCGATCTCAATGCACGAGTGAAGAAGTTGAAATAGTAACATGAAAGAAATAATAATAGTAATAGTAATAGGAAAGGCATGTAGCAAGAGGGATGGATCAAAGATATAATAGATTATGTTTTAAGAGTGAAGGGCTCGTTGTAAGACCTCAAGATCGACGAAAAGATAAACCGACAAAATTTGCTGCAACAACGTGGATAAGAATCGCTCAAGGCAACGATACACTGCCAAATCATAGAGCGGCCTTCCCATCCAGCAGTGGGACGAAAGGGCCCAATGATAATGATTACACCGCAATATAACATGCGCTGTCATATTTGAATAAAAGCGACGAGCTGATGTATCTGGCGCTATTATATGTATTAGAGCTTAAAATTCCTGTTCCATGAAGTCTTCTGACTGTATGGCTTCTGGATACCTAGAAAAATGGGCACTAGACCGGACCAGCGCCATGTGCTGTGAAACCCAGGTTCTAGAGCACCCTTCGGGTACTAACGTACTCTGTGTATGAACCCGTATTCTGATGATTTTCAGCTGTTAATGCAGCGAGGTATAAAGCTGATGATTTACATATTTACATATGTATGACAGCACAGTACGAGGATCCCTACTTTCTTTCCTCAGACAACATGGAAGTAGCTGAACCATTTTGCAAAAGTGAAAAGAGAATGACCCTTTCAGAATTCGAACACACAGCACTTCCATGTATTTCAGCACTCATTCAGAGGCGCCACCACGTTATGCCAAAATGTATGTACAAGAGATGGAAGGACTTTAACGTTTGGGAAGAGTACAGTAGTAAATTTAATTAGCAGCACAACTCTAAGGCTGACGAAAAACTCAATCAAAGCAATATCGATCTGTATCTCTTTCTCATTTTAAAGCGAGGATTAACACTGATGCGGAGGCTGCAGTGACGTAATCAAGGAACAGTCTGTTCTGCACTTTAGAGGTGTCGGATTAAAGTCCAATGCGACATAAATTCTATCCCATTAGCTGCATGATGCCTTGGTTTAGTCATGCCAAACAAGCGGCCATCCTCTCTAATGTGCACTGTCTACGGCTGCAATTCAACTGGCCTTGAGCCACCTGGTAAGTGACTGAAGATGAGCACAGGGTTTAAACGTAAGCTTAAAAGATGTTTAAATTCGAAACAGAATTTAATTTAATATTAAATACGAATCAGCTGCACCCGCCCAGAAATATGAGAAAGATGAAAAGGTTTGTACACGTTTATTATCTTGATAAATCTGCTCGAAATCATGTTCAGATTCAAGGCTCATTAGCACAAAACACTACGGGTACGGCAACCCTCTCGCTAACGCGTACATACTGTCTGCATATTTTCAGAGGGATTTAATGTACGCATCAGCTCATGTATTCTAACACTTTAATTAGCACTATGCGGTCATTGATATAAATGTATTTTTCCTGCTATCGCTCACAAATTGCGCTCCATTAAATGTGATACGGGTGGGTACTTGCAAAACTAGTTGCAATACAACAATACTGGAAGGGGACGTTATCATGAACTACGGCAAACACGAAGTCAACCAGCAGCATCTTCAAATTCCAATTTCCATTGTCAGTCATCATCATGCGCTTTTTTCGATTCTCCGCTGGATGAAGCCTTCTTCACTGCTGCTCCACAGACAGTATCATCATCCATCTGCAGCTCTTCCGATGAGCCGCGCCGTTTACTGTCGCTTGGAATTAAGTCCAGCGTGTCATTCGTCCAGCGGTGGTCGGTTCATTGTCCAACATCGTTTTAAGATCTTCGTTCCTGTAACTGCATGATAGGCTCTTGTAGCGCTCTTATCCATTGGTTCTTCTTCTTCTTCTCGTTTATTCTAGCTCTCAGGTGCCAGGCGTTTCTATGCTGCGTTGCGCAGTGTGCAGTCAGTGTGAAGCATTCATGAGACCAAAGATTATCAAAGCAGAATGTCAGAAAAACTCAGCTATAGTGGAACATGCCATAATTCATCGACATATAATATGTTCGCATAAGATGAAAGGCCTCACGCGGGAACAACAATATTTCTCCCGTAAAATCAAAGAAGCGTTGTTGATCTGTGTAACCAGCTGTATCATTCGTGACCTTGGCTCAAATGTCAGAGACAAATGAATTGGAAACCTCAAACGGTAGCTCGAGAAGAATAACAACCACGGTTGCATTAATTACAGACATCAACCTGTGCTGCATGAAATCGAGGCCGTGCAAATATCACCGTTACTCTGAAGACGGACCGAGCTTGGCCTGAAACGTCAATACCTGTTATAACATCTTTTTAAGAAAAAACATTTTATTTATTGATATCCCGTCTGTGACTTACCTGCATATAGTGTTATTAATTGCGGTTAGAACCACGATGCATGGAAGCAAGGATATTGCCAACAGCCCCATATGATTGTGAGATGTCTGACCATTGTCGAATGCAACTGAGTGTTATGAAAATGAGGATGGTAGGAGTTTAATTCAGAGACAAAACGCCAAATGAAGAAGTAAGAAGACGCACGGGAATGCAGCAGGACGTTCTATCAGTTTCGTAAGAGTGAAAACAACAATGAGCAGGTCGCATCGCAAGAATACCGACTGACCGATGGACTTCAGCAGTGGCAGACTCGTACTATAGAATCAAGAAGCTGCAAGCGTCCAACCGGAAGCCTTCGGTTAAGATCAAAGGATGAGTTAAAACAAAAATGAGGAAGCTTATGGCGATACATCGTACGCAATAGTAAAGCATAGCATCGAGACCATACAATGTTGATTTTCGTTAATCACGAAGAAGGATCGTTCAATTGTTATTCTGGTTATTGTTGGCGGGGCTGTGAAACGCACGAACGAAATGAAACAACAACCCGGTATTAGTGTACACCATATTTAGTTGTCTGTTTAATTAAGCATCATAGTGCCGATGATTTCGAACAAAGTGAACGGTGTAATACAGTTTCTGCTGAAGCAAAACAGTTTTCTCTGGCTTTGCCATAAAACGCTTTTGCTGCTCGTGATCTTACTAA